ACGGGCAATTTGTCCATCGCGTTTCTATCTAAATGTCCAATTAATAATAATTTAATTACATTACGACCGTTCCCTCTAACCCGACTGTCAGGCGAGTCGGATTAATGATTTGTAAGATTTAATTCTTCATAATCTATGTGCGAAGGGGAACTAATTAAAGAAGAATTTTCTATCTATAGATCTGAATAAAGTTTGCTTCAATTAATTGCGTAAGCGGCGAGTCTCTCGTGACTTGGCCAATTTTTAAACTCAATCATGTCGTATCGATAATGTATGTTTGTGGGTTTAGACGGAGAAAATAATAGTCTCTTGCTAAATGACAAGTGCACTGACATATCACCGTTATTAAATAGAAAAGTAGACACTGCAAGCTATAATAAAGAGCTAAAAAGAAGTGAACAACTTAAAACAAAACACGCGATAGAATAGTGTCCTTCCCTGTTTCTTATGGCAGACCGCTATCAGAGCCAAATTGGCGCCTTCTTTGCCATGCTAATGCTGCCGGGCAGCTTGATACTCGAGAAATCGATACGTACGCACAGTAACAGGGACGCAGCCTCTTATTAAGTAACTCCAAGTCTTTCGTATATATTTAAAGGTATCAAGATAGATATCAACATTTATGTGTTTATATAAAAAATTAGAGATAGAATAAAAAATCTTAAACTAAAAGATAATGCTCAGTATTTCTTCCATTAAAGAAATACTCACGTCATTAATTGATTTGGAACATTAAGACTTCTGTAACTGCACGAACTGAGCCATAAATCAAAATAAACGAAAAATTATATGTGCGATATTCCACGGCAGCGCCGACTTTGTGCAGCGCAATTTTGTATGTCACGGAAAGAATTTTAGTTTGCCGCATATTACGCGCTTCACACGGATGCGTCATAAATCACGTTAAAAAGAATTTCCCAGCCTTATTATGCATCACTAATTTCGCACGGTGTAAATTATTGTATCATTAAGCGGACTCGTATCTATACGGAACGTAAATAACACGGTTGCCACAATTAAAATAAAATCTGGGATTCAGATAAAAATCAGTAGCATAAAATTAGTCAACTCGGGCGTTAAGGTGTAAATTATGCAGATTGATTCACTCCTATGAAGGATGCGCGCGCGTGTTACGCGGCATTGGATTGCAGCGTTACGATAAAAAAAAATATATAATCTAATTATCTAATATATAAATAAAAGAAATATTAAAAAATCGCTCTATATATTCGAGAAACATGAAGCAGCTTTAACATCATTATAAACGGGTGCCTAAATTAAAATAAAATCGTGATTTTATTTGAACCACGATTTTATTTGAACCAGATCGTACAATATCTGCAAAATAATTTACGAAAATATTTTTATTTCGGCGATTTAGAATGTGCGAATATTAACTTTGTATTAACTTTCTAAGTTATTCCAATTGTTTAATAAAAAAGGAATAATCGATTGAACGACCAAAGGTATTGTCTTGGAAAATATCAACTTCGCTTAATTGATTCAGCAAAGTAATGAAAACAGCGGATCAACTCACGAAATGAGACGCTTTCCATCCATGAAGATAGCGACGCAGATTCGCACACAATATATGGCACTGCAAATCCGCCCCTGGGAAAGGATGCATCACCTTGTTCCACGAGAGCGAGCTGCATCCTCTCGACGAATGAGAGTAGCCGCTTACGAATTAGCGGACGCAGCAAGTCCTGGCTAACTTACAGGGTGTACCTAAGCGAAGGCCTTAGGGATACTAACGAGCGCGTGGACGCTCGTTAAGGCGGGAATGCAGGGCATTGCAGGGTAGCCCGCGTTAACGAAATTTACGAAGCCAGCCGACGGTAACGAGTTCGAGGCTGAAGTACATGCTGCGAGCGAGGATATCGTCCTTAATTCTGCGATCGCGGCTGTTAACAGACGTCTTTTTTCCATCATTACGTACTTCGTACGTTCCGGCGAAACTACCACGTTCTCGATTCTTTTATATCGCTCGAATACCCCCTTTTCGTCAATTTTACCTAAATTACAACGCATTCTCTCTTCATCCCGTCGATCTCCGTTTAACTATACCTTTCGAGATCATCGTATGTTTGTTGAAAACTGTAATAGAAAGAATGAAAAATGGTTGCAAAGGATGAACAAAGCAGACACGCAAATGCGTATCATATATCGTACACGCGAAATATATTCCAGAACTAACATATGTCAGAAGAAATAAGCACATGTAATGGCATCTAGAATTTTATTTTATATTTCAATTTTTCAGTAAGAGAAAAACAAAACGAAACAAATACACCTTTCGTGACAAAGAATAAATATAATTTTATTGTCGCAACTAATGCGACGTAATATAACGGCAATGAATAATCCAATGGGAAGAATTTATAAATTAATTTATAAATTAATTTATCTTTGACGGTCTTGCTTCTCGCTCACTTCTCGGTGATTGTCGGATTGAAATTTACGAGTTGTTAATGTGTCGCTAATAATATGTCATTATAGTAGCTTACATGATGACCGAGCATACATCAACAGATTTTTATTTGTGCGATGACTTGAGAAGTATTATACGTACACACATCAAAAACCGCAAACGATAACGTTCCTGAATTAGTATTGTAGAATAAAATGAATTTGCTGGAAGATGAAGAGCGAGATACAAAGGAAGTGGGATACAAAAGAACGTTCTTGAAAGTGCATCTGGGGACAGTTAAATTTCTTTAACTAATAGAATTCACTTAAATTGGTTCGTTTTCTTTATAGTACATCCAGATAGATACGTATTACATAAAAGTATTAATTTAGCTTGGTTAATTTTAAATATATTACTTTTAATAGTTATCGAAGAAGTCAATTTGCACAGTTTATTAGTTTTTAATAAGAAATAAGATGTCCAGTCTTATTTAAAAAAAATTTTCGTTGTGTAATTAAATATTTATAATGTTAAGAATATTATACTGATGTATAAAATGATTATATGAGCAGGTAATATTGACTGCAAAATGGCACACACATAGGATTAATCTTCCGGCGTATACAAAATCCAATCTGCAGAATTGGAATTTACAAGCTGATAGGTTTTTACCTTCGTTACATCCTTATCCGCATGAAGATCGACTAATAATGAGCTTTAACGATCGCTTCGGGATCATGTTGACGCGCGCCCAAGCTCCTCACTGGCCGAGCGAAAAATGAATACATGATTCACGAGCTGAATGCACGCTACCTTCTCGGCTTCTCCAAGAGAATGAAATGCATCGCGGAGAATCGATAGTCGAGTAATTCCATTGCTACCGATGATTCGCGGCCTTTATCTGCTTTGCATTTCCATGTCACGCGAGAGTTGCTCTCTTAACTTCCCTCATTCAGTTCTTCTTCCCCGTAATTATTAGGATCTCATTATATATAGACACATCTAGATCCAAGTGTACGATTTCACCTGATTTATAGTTTCGATACCATCTTGGGTAAAAATTTATTTCTGGCGAGTATATTTTTATCTCGTTTGTAAAAAGTAACGAGCGAAAGATAACGTGGAAGAGCATAAATGTGAAGATGGAAGAAACTAATAAAGTCGGAGTAAGTTCAACAGACCTGAAAATGTGTAGAACGTTCATATAACTAAACAAGATAAATGCAACGATATCATCTGTTTTAAGCGTGGTAGAGGCTAAGTGTTAAATCATATATGAGCAACTAGAGGAATCAAAAAGAGCATGCGTAAAACGTACCTACAAGGCGAAACAGACGGAAACGAAGAGAATAACGAGAGAAGCAACTGGCGAAGTAAACGGTGGGGGATGAAAGCAAGAGGAACAGACACCGATAATAAACGAGTCGACAAGGACAGAATAGTACGGCGAGCTGTATCACCTATGGGCAGATACAGGACTCGGAAGAAACGCAGGGTACACGCCGCGAGTCGCGACGGAATAAAGTCCGCGAATAAAGAGAGAGGGAGAGACGGCTGCAGCCGCTCCAATAGACCTCTACTATCCAACAACGCTGGGTGGGGATCGACCGAGTGAGGCGTGCGCGTAGGAGAAGGATAGCCTTCTAGATGTGGCGCGAGGTAGGGTGATGCCGCCGATCACGGCAAGAAGTGGGACGTGGTGACCACCTATGAGGCGAACCCACGAGACGTCGGTTCATTCGAGTGGGGCGAGTTAGGGCGTTTCATTGCAGCATGTTCGCGTGTCAGCCACCAGATGTCGAGCGATCATGTCCCTCACCCGCGTCCTCGTCCCTTCGGGGTCACCTTGGGAGGCGTGTACGCGTACAGGTCTACACCCAGAAACGCCCATCGCGAGCCCTCCCGCCGCTTCCTCGCCGCAGACGTTCCGCGGCAACCAACTGGACAACCAGGCCCGGTCCGGTTTCACGGCGTCGCACTACGGCTCCGTCGAAACCCGCGTCTACCAGCGCCGCGAAGGACTCCACGTTTTCATCGGCGCGATCTACTTGGAGCGATCCACTGACTCTGACGTTCTTACTTTCGTCACAGACGCTATTTTCGTCCTGATCGTGGACTAACTAGTACAACGGAGACGCATCCAATGCATTGCCGTCGCTTTGAGAACGTCAGTGACCTTTGTATGGCGCCCAAGGAACGTCCAATCGATAGAAAATCCGAAAACATGTGAAAGTGCATTGTGTTAGACTACTACAGCGAGACTTTGAAGGGCTGCGCTTTGTAAGCGACAATAGAACCACCGTGATTCGGTTCCAGGAATTCCAACTAAGATCATCTGTATTATAGATGAGCAACAAACTTGTTCAAAATAATTTATGGTGTAAACATCGTCAAAAAACTTACGGACTAGGGATACGTCGAAAATGAAAGTGAGATGAAGTATAAATATTGACTAAACAGTCTGCGCGAAACTATCCGTCGGAATGAAACCGAGTGAGGTTACTATTTAGCCGGTATAAAACTCGCAAGAGGTCGAAGTAAATGTCAAAAGTGTGACATTGTGAAGAGAAATTCTCCTAGTAGAATTATCCTGTTGTTAGATTATGAGCTTGTTAATCAATCATGTATGTTGAAAAGAATTGTGACACTCAAACAGATAATGATAAAAATATGTACAAATATGAGAATGACATTTATCAGTGCTAGACGGATCATTAAAAATGATATTAAGTATTGAAAGAGAGTTATGATTAATTCTTGAAAAAACGTTACGGGGAGAAGAAGGCATCATGAAAACACGGCCTACAAAAGTTCCGTTGTGATCGGATCAAGAAAACAAAGCTTGTTATTGTGCAAGGTGGGTGTTTCTTCGGGTAAAAAATGTCGAGTACACTCTCGGAGGCACCAATGTGTCTGGACTCATCGGACCCGGAGATCAGATCGAGCCACCTGATCTCACGACTGGATCATGACCAGGAGGACGCGGAGAAACCGGATCAGACACGGAGAACAGAATGTAACAACGCGGAAAGTGATTGTGAGAGCGATACGAGCGAAGTGTTGAGCGTTGGCAGCGAACCGACGCCAACTAGCGTGGTTGGAGTGCGTGTATGCGGCTCTATGAGGTACGACCAGGAATCGGCAAGTAGCCGGGGCGAGTTCCGTGACGAGGAAAATACGAGAACGTCGGCGACACCATCGCCTTCCAGCTCCGCCAGCTGCAATGATCTGTATTATCAGCGTACGTCAAATAATCATGTTCCAGCACCAAGTCCACCTGGTTACAGTCAACCACCATCGTCCCCCACGGCGTCTTCCGTCAGATCTCCAGCTTCCTCCTCGGCTACCGCCTCGTCTCCAGGTCGACCGGAAGCTATACAAGAGGCTATCGTACCTAGATACCAATCCAATCATCAGCAACATCTTCTTACTCGATATTCTTCTAGGGAACCTGATATTTCTGACTATACGGCGCGAGTTCAGCACGGCCTAGGTCACGAAATCGTTTATCCCACTGTAGAAAGGTTACATCGTACACCAATAAGCGTTCCTTTAGTAACGAGACTTTCGTTGTCACCACCGTCGGCCATGACGGTCACCGGGCTTCAAGCAACGACGCCTGTTCTCCATCCCGCTGCTTGCAGAGATCCGCGGGAGACTACCTCGTTGATGCCGCATCACAGTCAGCATCTACATCACGCGAACGCCCACACGCATCTGCATCAGGGCTCGCAGGTACAGCATGTACCGGCGAATTCGGTGCACCAGCACCGGCTGTCAGTCAGCAAACTCTTGCAACGGGATTCCGGTAGTCCAGCATCGCCCAGCGCTAGGGAGGAGAACGGGCGTACTTTGCCCTCCGCGAATGGCGTGCAAAATAGTATTAGCAACAACGGCAATCATCACAACAACAATAACAACAACAACAACAACAACCTACAGCATCAGGCGGGCCTAAAGTTCAGTATAGATAATATTTTAAAAGCGGACTTCGGCAGGAGAATCACGGATCCTATCTCTCTGAAGAAGTCCCGGCCTAAGAAAGTGTCTTCAAGGCCGATCGATCTAACGAAGGACTTTCTAGAGTCGTCCTCCGACACTTCTGAGAGAAGCAGCTCGGAAACGACAACGACGAACGCCTCTCCTACCGGTGTTTCGGCTGGGAACACGACGTCCAACCAGACTGGAGCAACCGATCCTGGAAAGATGTTATGGCCAGCGTGGGTCTACTGCACCAGATATTCGGACAGGCCTTCCTCGGGTAAGTTATCAATATTGTTTGAACGATATTCGTGTACTGCGCTATGCAAGTTTATTTTCTTTTTGCTTCATGTCTGTAGGACAATGGCAATTCATCGTAAGGTGAATTTATGTTAAGAGTTATTTGGGAAAATTATTTGTCGAGATGTGCTATAATGAAATCTTTGGCAATCGCCTATGTAACGCGTCAGTACAACGAAGCTTCGATTTGTCATAGCAGGAACGATGATTTACATCGTCGTTGAAATATGACAGACAATCCGCATTATGATCTCATCAAAATTCCGCGTATTTTATACAGTCTTTCGTATGGGAATGTAACGGCAAATATACTGCATAATAATATGATTAATCAAAATTTACCATCATTGTTTATCCAGCGCAGAAGTTCGTGTATTAATATTCGAAGAAATACATTACAGAACGTTTAAATGGCAAAATAAGTTTTACGCATTCATTGTTCGAGTAGAATTGCCTAATCCGCGTGAATAGAATCTCTCATTAAGAGCGTATAATGGCTGTAAATGCCGAATGTATAAATTTCTTAGTCAGAGAAGAAATATTCAGCATCGGGAGAAAATGTTTCTCGCCATTGTGTGAGAAAGCGTTTATAAAACGACTGTAATTTACTACTGTCACGATTGACGTGTAATACACTGCTCATTCGTGAAATCGACTGCCACGTTTTTCAAATAATAATTAATTAGAGAAACATATAGCATACATCACATATTTATCATCACACATTAATTATGGTATGCCCTGATAAGCGAAAATGGTGCAACTGTATAAATATATAAATTGGAAGCGCGGAAGAATAATCTCATAATTCATAACAAAACAGTTTTTCGATGTTGTATATGTATGGAATCGTATCTACCTACCTTTGTAATATAACAAATAATTTAAGATCTTATCGGTTTAATTTAAGCAGCATATATTTGCGCGTATTTATCAGCAAAATATGATTTATCATCGAAGAATTTTAAAAGTACGGTCATACAACACGTGGACGATTCGACTGTGTAAAACTTATTTTTAACGAACTGCTATGTATCACGGCACCTTACGCTATTGATCGGACAGTTAATTATCAACTGCTTTTTGAAAGAAGTATGTCGGTATTATTGCCACGTTTTTGCAGCATCGCGCAGATAGATGGTCCTTTCAAGTGACACAGGAAAACGTGTAATTACTTTACTTCCCGGCCGAGTGCCAGCTTGATGAATGATAGAGAACGTTTCTTCGTGTCATTCATATCTGATATACGCTTATTGTCAGGAAACAATAGTTAAGCAGTCGGAGAAATAGCCGCTCTCTGCCTCATAAATCAAGTGTAGCCATTTCTCACCTGGTACTCGAGTAACAATTTTCTAGGCGGATCCAAGACTCGATGTTTGTTGCGCAAAAATTTGATCGATAAATTTATATAATTGATAAATACATTTATCTTTACGTTATACACCACATATTTTATATACATATACATATTTATATAATTATATACAACTTACACTCTCTTTGTATCTTTAAATTATTAAAATTATATCCCACAGCGATTTATATTCCAGAATTACAAATTGTCGTAACACTCGCGCATATCTATAAATTATCGGGTTGTTAACATTCTGCGGTAATACATATTTCCGTATGTTGTCGGTTAAATATCTTGCTCTGCACGATAACATCTTTTTTAAGTGAAAACTTGCTCATTGCATTACGGCGGTTTTATCAACGCGCAAACTTTATAATTGTAATGTATCGCCGTCAGGACCGTTCATTACATCAAACACCGTGACGAATAGATAAACACTCTTGCCAGGAGAGATATTATTGGATCACCTTTTTCTATTATGTCTTTACAACGCGACGGGTAGATAAGAAGCTCGAGTTGTTAAAACGACTAATGTAAAATCTAATTACCGTAATTGCGCGTACTACTCTCATGCAGCGAGTCATATCATGCATTGATATCATAGTCGATGTTTCCACGAGTTATTCTTTTCGCGCGTTTGCGTGCATTAATATCCGGTGAATAAGTGCGATACGGTCGACAAGACTATAGCAATTTTTAAATACGTATTCGCATTGACGGAGAGTTCAGAAGAAAAAGGACAAACGAATCTAATCGGTGACGTATTGCTGGTTGCATGCATACCGAGAGCACTTTCACACCCGCAGTAATTAAATATAAAACGAAATTTCTTTCTCGTTATCGACTTACTTATCAATGGTAAACTCTATACTAGATCAAATTACAGATCGTAAGCACTTCAGTATAAATGTACTTTATAATGAATAAATGCCGAACGCGTGTAATTAGAATAATGTTTTTACAACTCGAAAATACAATATAAATATAACGAGTCATATCAAGACAATATTAATCATTTTGTATATCTTAAAAGTTGAACCTAATTTATGAACGAACTTTGAATCACTAATTCATATTCTTCGCTGCAGATATAAGATGATAACATTGCTTACAGATCACAGATATAATTGATTAAAGATCATTTTATTTAATTTCATCAACAGCTGTCGCAAAGTTTGCAACCCAGATAAAAAAAAAATAATAAGGTCAACACATCGGTTGAGTGCGCGTTACCATTCTAGAGCAAATTACATTCCGTAATCGTTACGTGGGAAAGTACGCGACGACGATCGATCAAACCATGCGTTTTGTGCTTATCTCCTGTTCCACCGATGCGGAAAAAGAACGAGGTTCGCGACGATAAAACCGCACTTTAGAATATTGCATAATTAAGTTCATAACAGTGTCGAATATTCGTCACAATCTACTGACTGGACGCTAACTCGATATGTTTGCACCGGCGCTCTTAGGTGAGGAGCGCGACCGCGAGGTGCAATAAAGCCGGCGGTATCGCGCGCTAAAATCCATTTGCGGAAAGTTATGGCTAATTAGTTCCCTCAGCTTCGGATACGTGCACACAGGTGCGATTTCCTGTTAACGAGGCTCGAACTGGTGCCCGTGGAGCACCGTCGGAAAAGGACAGCATAGCTATCTCGCATATTTGTTGCGGGTTCCGTATCACGCGATAGAGAATTTGATTTTTAGAAAAAAAAAATCTACATACTGCACGCTTTTATTGGCGATAGATATTGTCAACGCACGAAAGCATTAAACTCGTTGTTTACGAGGTTAACGTCACGGGAAGAGGGGAGAGAACGCATGTTGCAACGCGTGCCATAAACGGGAATGAAACGGCGATCGAGGAATTGCGTGATTGACGCGGCCGTCAATTTTATGGCGTATCTCGTTGTATCACGTGAAACCTAAAACACTGTCGAATTATTCCTCGCGAAAGGTGCTTGCGCATGTTTGAGAGACAATCTCGTTCTGTCATGAAGAAGGGAACGAAAACAATCCGATATTTGTCCGTCATTATTCGTCGGTGAGTAGTTCGTAACGTTGCATAATTAAGGGAATGATCGGCTATCAGTGAAAAGCTAGCGTGCGTTATATGGCGAAATATCAAGTCTTAACGAAATGTTCGTTGTGGAATATAAAGAGGGATTAATTCACGGATCTGGTTCCTGTGGCTTTGCTCCGTTTCTCTCCTTCTCTCATATTTTCTCTTTCCTACTCTTTCGTTCTTTCGTACTCGATCGATGGAACGGGAGGGTCGATATATACGTACATACGTACAATTGGCGTACGTGTGTAAGCAAGCGCGTTTACTCCGTATCGGGCGGTCTCGCGGGATCCATCGATCTTATTAGGGTTAAGTCGAAGGTGCTTCTCGTTCTCCACTGGACGCGATAACAAACCCAGGCTGGCGCTGTGTACCGGCCACGTACGGCGGCCCTGAAGGCAGTTACAAAACCTATGAATGGCTTCCGTTCGCGCTCTAGTTATCGTAACGCGAATTTTTAGATAAGACAACGCCGTTGTATTCTATACCTATTTGTAACAAACGGTGCTGTTAGTCAATCGTACTTGTCTTAAGATTGCGATGCTCGATGTGAGAATGAATTGAAAACCTGCATATTGCATGAAGGGAAGGAAATGGACTTGAAAGATTGATCTAAAAATATCTACGTACGTGTGATTAAAGAGGAAGAAATGTATCTTTATCGCTGAGGAACGAAGAGCTGCGGCCGAGACACTATCATTATATCTACATTGAGATAATTGTCTGTCAATTCCACGTCTGTTAATTGCGTAACAACCACAGGGCAGCTTCCGTTCCAATGGGCAGAAGTACCAACAGCAAAAAAGGGAATGTCTCAAAGGCATAAAAAAAAGAATGAGCGTTACGTTCGTTTGAGAACGTTTCATCATCTGAATGAAATCCCTTCTAACGATCTATTAATGATTCCGACAATTATCGTTCTTGTTCGCGATGTTATCATCTGCGGTCCATCGCGCGGATCAAACTTCTTCTCGACCACGCACGTAGAAAATTGGATCCTTGTTGGAAGATAGGCGTTAAAGGATAGGCGTATTTGAATGCGTCATTTAACGCGACTTATAAGTTCGTTGTTCAAAATTTTATTGAAACAAATATAAAGTTGTTAATAACGTGATGAATATGATGTGAAATAATTAGTTTTTGAGACTTTACGCTTTGATTAGAATCAAATATGCAATTAAGGTACGTGGCGCAACTTTGAGAAAAACATTTCCATAATTAGACATCACGGTGAAAGGAAGGTACAACTTGTTGACAATTATCACCATGCTGGAAAGAAATTGAAATTGATTCTCATTAATAAGATTCAAGTTTATTATCATTCAGAGTAATTTTATGTCATTTTAACATGAAAAGATCGTATCGCGCGACCTGAAACTGTCAATCCACCTTATTTGAAACTTACAGCTCTTTTGATGTGTTCTCTCTTTTTAGATTACCGTCCGACGTCTAACATTTGCGTGTCGTTGTCTCATTATCTAACTTTCGCATGTCATCGGCTGGCGTTACGCATTGTCACCGTAGAATTAATTAATAGTTAAGTCAATATTAGCCGGGATGTTAT